ACCCTGGAGCACCTCATTATGTCTATGTGGAAAACCTAGGTGATATGTATACATATCCACAATCCTTCCAGTTAGTGCCTCCCAAATATAAGTATCTAAGCTGCCTGTTTTTAACAATTAAAATACCTATGCATGCCCTTATGCTCTTGCAGCATACGTGTACCTATACCCATAGAATTGTGTGCTGATGTAACTGTTCATGTGCACCATATTTGCAGTTGCCAGACTCATGAGTCCAGACTGGATCAGGCTGTGCTCAGACTGTTCTGCCAAGTGCAATGTAAAGATCTGAAAAGCTGCTATTTGGTTCAATTAACTCAATAATCACTGGGTAAGGTGGACTGCATCTAAAGATGAACTCCAGGGACCTGCCTACTTAGTACTTATAAATCCCTCTCCCCATGCTCAACTAAACTTCTGTGAAATTATTCAAAATAATGCCTTACTTTTACTTGAATTGATGATCTTAATTCCAGTGATGTCATCAGACCCTTTGGAAAAATGTGTTCCTCCCACGTACCAGTGGAAGTACATTCTGATGCTTAACATAAGCACTACATTTCCCATGATACCACGGGAATGCGCAACATGGTGGGCGTACAAGCAGGCAACGTTTACAGCTGTTTATTTGTGTCTATGAGGGACATTGTTATACTAAAGAAAGCAGCTATTAGCATAGCATTGATGTGTTCGGGTTGTGACTGGTTGCTGTGCCAATCATACCCACCCACAGAAGGCAGCATGACATAATCACAAGCACTTCTCCCTTTGCAAGCAACAGCTAGGCGGAAACGTGACTGGAAGTGATTTCTCCATAGGGAGAAAACAGCGGCACCCAGTCACACAAACTGGAAGACCGCATACAAAAGAAGAATTGCTTGAGGTGATTGAGTACTACAAAAGGAGACTGTATGAATACAAAAGTTATATTTAGAGTAGCATAGTGTTCAGCAATATACAGAGCTATGCATGTTGTATTTAATTACGTTTGTAATTTGTGTGATGTTCCACATTTCATTGAAGCCTCCTTTGTCTAAAACCCTCTACAAAACTTTGGTCAAGAATACAAATGTAGGCTAATATGCTTGATAAAACTTTTTTGCAGCCAAATTGGGATAACACAGATTTGATATCAGTTACATGTTATCCACATTGCATAACATAAAAAACAATGGATGCTTACATATTACTTGCTCTTTCCTGAAAGAAAGGTTTTTCTGTGAACTGAATTTTCCCCTGGAATGCAAGGGGTGCTTAGCAGGAACAAAGGGTTAAAGATCTAGGAGCATTGTATGTTAATGAGAAGAAGCTCAGAGAGGCCATAGTCTTTCTATGGGACAGACAGAGTTTCCTGTTTAATTGTGGAGAGAAGCTCCAAAGGCCTGCTACACAGACACATGTAAAAGGTAAGAAATAGTTTGCGGTATACAGACACTCCTCTGTATACGATGGGGTTACGCTTCTATAAACCCTTTGTAAAGTGATCGTATTGCAAACCTAAAGAGTTGTAGATACATGAGATATTCAACACTTTGTTATCAAATACAGTAGGCCTTAGCCGAGTTTAAGGTAATTCAGTATATACACAACCCAAGGCGTAACTGTATACAGTATATATATGCTGCTGTTACACAATTGTAAAGTCAAAATATCGTAAACCAAACGACCGTAACCAGAGGAGCATCTGTACTGTGTGAATAGGAACACATAACAAACATATAGAGGGGTTTTCTCAAAATCATATGCAAATGTGGAAATACACTTTAATACTGACTTTTGCAGCCTTGCTTATTATTGTAGGAATCAAAAGGAAATAAAACTCAACAATAATCCAAGTGTCTCTTTGATGATTTATTACCCCCAAAAAACATGGTCAGTGGTGAATCAATCAACATTTCACTTCAACACATGTGCATCATCAGCGGTCACCTAACTATAGCTACGTAATTGTGATTTCTATATTATGAGTTCACTTTAAGTTCCGCTTTAAGCCAGTATTATTTTACATGCTGTATTGTTGTGATTCTAAATACTAAAGCCAGACTCTGGAAAAAAGGATAATTTACACACTGAATTGGGTGTGTAAATTGTTTAAGAACAGTCACATGTCTAATTTGTTTAGTTTTGCACAAAACAAAAGATCCAAATTTTTGTTAAAGTAGCATTCGGATTCGTTTGCATTCGGACCTGTTAGAATTCAGATGCATCCAAATGTCTGAATTTAATGAAATTCATTTGAATATCCATTCAGAACTAAACTAATTTGACATGTCTATTAACCACTGTTGTACCATTCTACACCTTTGGCAGTGACCTTTAGAGTATACTTTGCATGCATATGCTCAGGTGTCCCCAGGAACACATTTGGGCAGGGTGGGCATAGGAGGTCCAAGCCATGGCTAGCATGTGGACCAGACTAAATGGTCAGTAAACTAGCATGGTCCAAAGCTAACTGGGCATAAACAGTGCCAAAGAAAGATAGGAGCATTGTCCAGAGTAAAGGCCATAGTCATTAACAAGGTTAACCAGAAATAAGGCAGAGATTTATCCCTCATTCACACGGGTAACGGCCGACCCATCCAGATCCGTGCTGCGTGCACGGCGGTATCGGGCCGCTCCCGGGAAGGACAGGTGCTGCGTGTGATTACACACAGCAGCCTGCCTTCCCTATGGGAGTACGCGGCCGTATGCCGCCCTACGCTCACCCGACCTGCACGTCCGTATGGGTGCGGGTGTCCATACTTGTACGCTGACAGGATGGACGGCCCCGTACTCCCATAGAGAAGAACAGGCTGCTGCATACAATCACAGGCAGCAGTTTGACCCTACTGCAGCCATACTAATGCTTAAAAAATATAGCACATGTACAGTATATAGCACAGTGTTGTGTTTTGCAAATGTGCTTAGCACTCCACTGCCTTTGGTACTCTGAATTACCAGTTCAAGTGAGTCCCATCACTTAACCTGTTAAAGTCATGACATCTAGCTTGCAAAAGCCTTTTAAAAGTTGCAAGTTCTGCATATAAAAAAACAAAAAACAGCGGTTTAAATTTACCCCGTCTTCGCCGCACGTTCCCATTCGAGAATCCGAAACTGTGTGGACGGCCGCAAAGCATCTTTAATGTTTAATGACTTTAATGTTACTTTAATCTTATAACACAAACTGTTTTTGTACTGGTAATTATTTACATGTCTAATGGAAACATGAAAAAATATTTTGTGCGTATAGTTTATAAATTAAATCATAGGTGGTGCTTGAGGTAAGCTGACACACTGTTAAGTATTTGTGGCTGTAAAGGGGTACATAAAAAAAACGTTGTTCTGTATGAATATTTTGTTTTTGTTTACCAGCTTTTCGGAATCCTCTCAGTAGCAACATGGAAAGAATCTCCTTCCCACAACTCTCCTGACTGTTTGTTTCAGTCTAAGATTTGATTTTTGCAGGAACATCTGTGCTGAAAACGTGGTACTGTGTGTGTATTATACATATAAAGGGGAACCCTAATGCTGGAAATATACACAGTCATTTTCAAGCAATTTACCTGCTAAAATATGATTGAATGAATCAAGGCATCCTGCTAACAGTTTTAATTGTTTCAAGGTTGTGATGGGGCAATTTGGTGATAGGTTGTTGTGATCCAACTGGTAATTTTTGCACCAGAAACTGATTGAAAGTGTTTAAAATAGCCTGAATATTGGCATGGGGTAACCAAAAAAAGTACTTTTGGGGTTTAAAATGCCCCATAGGTTTGTATATCATATTAAAAACAAGATCATGAGCATTTGAAAAACCCATGTGGTTAAGAGGAAAATAGAGAACTACCGTAGGCATGTAGTGTCTGAAGAGAACAAAACCTCTCATGGGCTTTTTATAAACAGAGGTGAAGAGTTAGAACCCCATGTTAGATTGTATTGCTATCTGTGCCCTTACCAGGGAAATTCACCCTCTCTATTTGTCCTAGTGACTATTGTAACTGGCACCTAAAGAGAGAGCAAATCTGTAATTTAGAGTTGTCGCCAGAACAGGATTATAGTTTAAATCTTCCCATGGGCATGCTTGTTCCGGTGACAATTGTTTAAGAGGCTCTTTCCCTAACTTTTGAGATATCTCCTCCTACTTCCTGTTGTGTATAAAGAATTGGAAGTGATGGAAAACATCCCCAATGGCACACAGAGAAAAAAACATTCTGAGAGGGGTTTTAACCATTCTCTACTATATCCAAAAGAAAGAAATGTTTTGGCTTTAGATGCACTTTAATCACTTCTTTTATGTGAAGTGTAGTGATTCTATTACAAGTCATGGAGACATCAAAGACTTTGCCGTTCACTGTGCCACAAACAATGTTTTCCTGTTTTGTGCGCCAAGAGCTGTATGTGAAACCCTTCTATGTTTTTTTCTGAACCCATTTCAACAAAGTCTAGACATCCTGTAGGGATTAAGAAGGAAAACACAGATGGATTGTATAAAAAAATAAAATATTTTATTTTTCATCTAGAAAAGTGCAAACATGTACCTTTTGGTCACACTTCTCAACACATAAAAATGTTGAAAACAAAAGTACAGTCATGATCAAGGTAAAAAAACAACAGATTATTTTAGTGAAAATCATGAACAGTTTCAATATAAACAGCATATAGATATTAAAGCTTAACTGGTACGGAAACCTCCAGTACAAACAATACGTCTTCTAACTGTTTACAGTTTTCACGTAATAATCTATTTCCTACTCTCAACATCTGTTCAGCCGAGTATTAAAAAGTACTTATCAGGGGGTCAACAATATAATAAAAAAACAGGATATCAAAACATTTAAGCATTATAAAAATGAAGAACAGGATCATCAAACAAATTTAAGTTAATTTAGATAACTGTACAAAAATATATATACATTATGTACAATAACTATAAAAAGCAGGAGTACAGCATGCAGTTTAGCATGATGTAAACTTTCCAGTCTTGTAACAAACATAGTTTCCGTTCCATGTTACATTTTTTTTTCCTCAGGGTTTGCTAAAAAAAAATTATGTTGTCCTACAAGGACAACTGTTTAGGTACCATAATTTAGCTGGAATATAAACTCCAGCTGTCACTGAAATGGTGCCATTTCATTGAATACTGTATATAAAGATAGTAAGAGCTATTTTTTCCAGTTGCATTACTGGGTGCAAAATACATCACTTATACTCAGTGCATACTGCCCTATGACAATGAATGTACAGCAACATTACATTGCACCCAGCAGAGCTAGGGAGGCCTGGTTCGTCTTCCTTTCTTCAAACCAATGGCTGGGGTCATTCAACAATCAAGTCTTAAAAAGAAAGACTTTCATTCAAACAGACTTAAATACGTTCTTGTGCTATAACATTATGTTTAGCAATGAGATGCAAAAGTCATTTCAAGTGAAACAGTCTTTTGGGGTGGTTCTCTGGATCTATGCCATATCCCCATACATTTTTCTGTAGTACATGGATTCGAAGATGTCATTGTCTCCAGGGCAATTGTAATGACATGCACATGTCTTGATGAACATCATCTTCTTCTTCATGACCTCACCATCAGGACACTTGAACTCTACTGGGAGGGTGGCGGTTCTATGAGGGGTACAGCAACGACCATCTGTGCAGACCCCACAAAACTTGGCTCTGTAGGTTTTCACACTTGTGCAGCCAGAAAACTCGAACTTGACTGGTTTGGAGATTTTAGGAGTACGGATGCACTTCTTTCCTTTCTGTAGTGAAGAGAAAAGAACCATATGTTAGACACTCTGTTATGCTCAAGGTTAGGTTTTCAACTTTAATGGGCATGGGTAGGGCTGGTGAAATGAAATGAACATAAACTGTATGTTTATATTTGTATTATTTTATATTTATTCTGGTATATATAATAAGGCAGAACAAAGGGCTCTGATGATATGTAAAGTTTAACATTCTTTAACAAGCTGGTTTCAGTATTCAGATCAATGAAAAATGTGATCTGAATGTTTTTTTGGGTTACTATATCTTGCATATTGTATCTTACCCTTTTAAGTAAGCCAGCATAATTACCCTACCACTTACATATAAAAATTGCATTTCTATGAAGGTAGACTATAATACAGTGTTTTAGTAGAGCTGTAAAAGGTGTGTTCTAAAACACTGATATTCACCTTAATGTTTTCCTCAAGGTCGGCTTCACAAGGTCTAACCATACAGAGTCTGCTCTGTTTCTCCAGTCTGCAGTGCTCGTTGTCATTGGTAACCCGTGTAGAGATGCCCATGCCACAGGTCTTTGAGCAAGCACTCCATTCAGTGGTCTGTACCAGACAGTTGGCACGCATCAGAGATGGATCAGGACCGTATGTCTCCTCCATTCTAAAAGCTGTGGAGAAAAAAATACAGCACATAAGATGTCATGATAATAACTCCATAGTATAAGAGTCTTAATAGATAATCTAGCTCAGCCTTATTAGTAAAAATAACAGACTATTATGTCTACAGTTTCTTTTTAGGATGCAGTGCTATAAAGCAGAAATAGCTATTGTAAAGATTTTTTTAGTTTTTTTTATTAGGAGGCTATCTGGTGGTATATTATTTGCTGATAATAGTTAACACATTCTGAATATATTTAAAAATCTGGTATATGAATTACAACTTACCAGGCAGAGCAGGTCCAATGATGGTTTTTTCTGCAGGTTGATCACAGACCCATTCTTCACAGCACTTGCCAGACAGTTTCACCCTTCTTGGGTATGGACAGTCAGGGCTAGGAAGACGGACATCCATGCTGCAGAGTGGCACACAGCCAACGCCTCCATCTAAGCATGTGCATTGGTACTTGCAACTGCTTTGGAAGGACTCCCCACTTCTGTAGACCATGCCTCCAAACACACAAGGGGCACCTTCCCTGGCTAAAATGAAGATAGAACATGATTTAGGATTCAGGTTTAGAGGTAAATAACCATAAAATATATTATCAGCTATATCTATCTGACATTGTCCGAATAGCTTATAATTACATTTATAAATACATATACTATTACTATTGCTTGCTACTGATAAATAGTCTAAAAATGTAATGCTAACTTTAAAATACACACAAATTACATAAGCATTTTAGTCATTCATTTTGCCGCTGCTCTTGCTGACTAAACTAATATAAGGAACTGCTAAGGACACTTACCAGTGCAGACTCCAATTTTCCTGTTGATCCTGGAGCCAAAGTCACAGAACAGTCCTTTGTGTGGGTCGCACATGTCTCTCTCAGTGCAGAGTTCACCCAATTGCTTGGCACACACTTTACAGCATCCACATCCATCCTGGACCAGGCTAACCCCAGGCGCACACTCAGGTACTTTCTGTGGGCACTGACATTCCCCATTGCAATCCTGGGCATCAGATACCTGTAAGGATGAGGAATAGATAGGAGTGAGCAGGCTGCATTTTATATTCTTTGAGCAAGAGAACTATCAAACTATATGAATGTAAAAATCAAAGGTTGCTTTAGCTTCTTACAACTTAATGATACACAAAGTGAATTTAGTGCTAATAACAGAATAACCCATATGTTCCTATTTAAAATGCTTAACTAGAACACTGGTATGTAATCCTACATCACTACAAATTGTAGTCTACATAGAAGCTACTGACAGTTTAACTCACCCAGCAGAGCACAGCCAAGAGGAGTACAGCTGTCACTTTTCCGGAAGACATTGTTCTGTTTTCTTGCAAATCAAAAGAAATTCTTCTGCCGTTCGCTTTCTCTAGATCTCAAGTCGATCTTGTGTAGTTTCTTGAAGTTTTCTCTCAAAGTTAGTTTTTGCGCTTTAATTCAGAGTCTGAAAGCCTCTTTCCTTTGCCCCTGTTTGTTGAGTTTGTTCCTCTCTCAGGTTCTGGAAGAGTTGTTGTGTGAGTCTAGCAGCAAGCTGCTGCTCTTTTATACCCTCCTGGATGCTGAGACTCGCCAATGAGCTGAATGGAGTCCTACACAAGCAGGGACATTCCTCGCATTCCTCTCAACCTTCCTGCCCCATCAACTCACACCGGATTGATCCTGACCCCTTGACATTCCACATTCCTCCTGTCTGAAAAAACTGGCACACTCCACAGCACAAAAAAGGCGCTGTATCCTCACCATCAAATAGGATTTTCTCCTTGCTTTTATATAGTTTCCACTCTATAATTTTATATGAAAAGGAGGTTTCAGCCTTGTTTTTTTTACAGCTAACCTCTGTTCCAGACAGTGTTTTACCGCTTCATGTTACAATAATCATGTTAAAACACCTCATGGCAAAATGTAACCACAATACAAAAATACATTCTTCCTTGTTTCTTAAGCAACCTACACGGAGAGGGAGGGGTGGCTAGAGGAAAGGAATGACATTTAAAAGAAAAAAATTCAAGTGTATTATCTTGTGATGAAAGGGAAAAATGCATTGGAAACTTATGTAACGTTAATGTCATGAAATGTATAGCATGCCTTTTTCATTTGTTTATTATGGATACTGGTATGAACTTGTGAAGCTTAGAGTGAGTGAGCTGTGTTACATCAGTAGCAGCTACAATCCCGAGACACCGATAACCCCTGAATCAGACAAAATCATAATAGGGGACATACCTGTGCTTACCGCATACAGCATAAAGTGTCAGACAGCAGGAAAGCCCAACTAGGAGAATGTGCATGCACATGCGCAGGCCTTACCCATAGACCCATACTTCGCTGGCCACTAGTGTGCAGTGTCTACACTGTGAATCTGTGATAAACCCCCATACTGGATTACAAAGTTACTTATGGGGATCAGAACACTGATACTCACTCTAAGCTGCAAGTAATATAAAGAGCAGGTACAATTGCTGATCTCCACTTTGCTAATTGTTTTAAAGGCTAAGTTCACCTTTCTGATCATGTTTCATGTCACATCCATATTTAGGGTGTAACATGAAACATGTTCAGATTGCAACCTCCCTAACCCACTCCCCCCTTCCCCCCACTTATCTGAATTGCAGGTTTCTTCAACCCGCAGGCTGCCTCTCCTCTGCAGGCTGCTGTTTTTTTTTTTTTTTAAAGTGTTTAAAGTGAACTTTCCCTTTAAGCTAATTGCTAACTGTTTTAAGCTGGTTACTTTGTTTACAATTGGTGACAACTTATGCTGTATGCAGTGAGTGCAGGAAACACCCCATATTGCTATTGTTCATTATGGAATTTATGGAGTAAACACACACAAATATATATATATATATTGTGCCATATTAGCCCCAAAGCAATGAACGTTAATTTTTTATGGAGAAATGCCCCTAATAAAAATGACCCCTCGCACAGCTCACAGGCTCATCTATCTTCTTATACTTAGTTTATAGCATTTTTAAAGCTTTCTTATTGTGGCATATTTCACAACACAAAATAGAGACAACAAAAATAATGACCTAACTTGTCTTCCTCAGTGTAGTCAGCACTCATCTATACATAGACTGGTTGCTGTGAGGTAATGCATGTACATCCACCTGTTGGCAGGCTCTGGTTGCCTGGGTAACCCTGGAAGCTATCCTAGCCTTGCTGTACAGATGTCTCCAGCACACTCAAGGTTATAACTCTCACATAGTTTTCTATAAATAAAATCATGAGTGGGATGTGTGTGAGGAGGAGAATACAAGTGCACATAGCCGGTAGCTTTCCTAATATCTGTTAATAGGTATGATGTCATCCAGCAGCCAGTGTAATAAGATCATGCTGGGATGTCCCTCTTAGGTAGCTGCAGGCCATTGATTGATAATTAGCTTTTCCCTGGCAGAAGGACATAGAGGGAGGAACACTAAATTTATACTTTCATTCTCTTAGTACACAGAACCTGAATGATAAAGCAAACAACAGATCAATGTATGTTTTATTTAAAATTGACAGATATCAAAACAATAAAACCAGTAAAAAAATTAAGTGTTTTAAAAAGGAGGATGTTACCAGCGGAAGTGAAATTGCTTATACAGAGTCACTATCGAAAATTGACACAAAGGTGTTAACAGTGGTACTTAGGCAAAGAATTCTAAACCTGCTCTCCTAAATTCCTTTGTTATTGCAGCATGAACTTGGACAAGAAAAAAGTGTGTGTGTGTATATATATATATGTATATCTACTCCCTAAATTTTCATATAGAGACAGGAAAACACCCAACAGTTTATCCTTAATTCCATACACTCATGTTTACTGGAGGAAATACAGAATTGGTATACAAAGCAGAAATGTAGCTGTCAGGGGCTGTTGTCATGCCTTTTCCCCCAGTGACATTCACTGTTCACACATATTTGTGGTATGGAAGTGATATATGCAGAAGTGTATTTAGGTGCTTCATGCCTTGTTTATTCATTTGTCTGTTGACCTCAGCCATAATGCATTGTTTCCATTCCAACCAACTGCTGATGACTTGGTTTCTTCCTGCTCACATGTACCATGTACAGTCTACTGCCCTTTATAGACATGACAGTGATGGTGGTGACTATGAATGGGGTTTGAGTCATAGTGCATGTGGGTTGGCTCCAAGTTTAATGTCCCAAGGTAAAAGGTTCATTCATACTTGACACTGGACACCTTGTTTGATTTGGCCATTTTACACTGGACCGTTAAATTACTATATACTATTAGTATAAGCACCAGGGCTGTCCCTATAATGATGCAACCTGATGCTATTGCTGCACAATGTTTTCAGCAGAGGAGCACCAAAACCGAAACTAAAAAATTGGTCAGGCCAAAACCGAAACCAAAAATTATAATTTTTTCTAACCTTTTTAAAAACCTTTTTTAAAATATTTTATTTTAATTTTTTTTTTTTTTTACTTTACTGTTAGGGGCTTTGGGGAAATATCAGGGGTCTAAACAGAGCTGGACAGGATGCCGAGGTGGGCTGGGAGGGCTGATTCACTCAACCACCACACTGCCCCACCTCAGGTGGCAAAAAGGGTAAGGATGACACTGTGTGAGCAGGAGGAGGCGGGGCCCGGCAGTGGAGGAGTCTGACAGTGAATCGGGGTTGACCGGTAAGGGGTGTTCCGGGGTGTGACCAGCCCACCTGAGACTCTGCAGAGCCTACCATAGAGAGCCTATGGTGGGCCCTGCAGGGTCACTCTCTGGAGGGTTGTGTGGGATCTCAGGGGGCTCTGCAAGAGGCGTAACTAGAAATCACAGGGCCGCATACAAAATTTTGTTATGGGGTCCTGTGATTTCTAGTTACACCCCTGTATATACAGTATGTATATGGGAAATGTTGAGTAAAGCTTTCAGTTCTGTAAAATAGAATGCCTTCAGTTCTTCTATTTCTGAAGATGTCATGTACAGTAATTACGCTCATAGAGAATTAACCCAACATTCTTTGCGCAGACTTTAGCAATTAGAAAAACAGACAATTATGCTGGGATAGACATTTAATAGCCTTCTGTAAAGGATTACCCGTTTCATTTGTATGAAGTTATTTTAGGGTGTGTTCACAGTAATGCAATGCTGAAACCATATAAGGAACACAAGGTTATATTGAAACAGGGTTCAAGATGTTGTTTGTGGGGGACATTAAAGAGTTAAGGACTTGTGTTCCTGACTTTCATACAGGTGTTTACATAAAGAATTCCTTCACAAGCACATATTTTTTTCTGGTAAAATAAGGAATTTAGTTCAGTTGGCAGCACATGTATATTTACACAAATATATACAGTAAGCTTACATCTGCTTCAATTGCAGCAGTTAGTTGAGTCGGGTCTTGTAAATTGTACAGGTGGAGATCTTACTGCATTCCTTCCCTTTAAGTTTTTTTTTTTTTCCTGCGTTTTCAAAGTCATTTGATCAGGTATCAGACATACTGTACCGAAAAACTGGACAAACTACAGGAAAGTGGCTAGACTAGAAGTGTTTGTGTACTTAAAGAAGGAATCTTGCACATTTTCAGCTTTCAGTCACAGACATTTTCTTATTAGAGCAATTGAAGGTCTGTGCCAGCCCTCAAAACGGAAATCAAAAGCTCCCAGAGAAACATACCCAAGGAATGCAAGACTTTGGCCAAAAGCTGTACGCAATGCACAGACGGAGGAAGTCTGGCCCTATATGGAGATTTGCACAGTGTGCTATTTATCTCTATGATAGCCCAGACACTTGCTGAACCAGGGACTATTTCTAGCTGGTTTATGCTTTTCACAATGTCTAGAAAGAAACTGGGTATTTTGTTCCAGTGAGCTGTTTTTTTTTTTTATTCACCTTACTGAAAAAGTAAAGTGGAAAACGTAGGACATCAGTAACATCCAAGTATAATAGCTCAATGTGCCTAAAATAAACCTTCCCTGAGAGAAATCCACAGGCTGCCATTGCTGACTTTCTGAAGATGTTAGCTGCCTGACTATTACACTGATCAACTGGCTTCAATACCTTAAAGTTGAACTACGGGCACATACATTTTAATTTAAATATAATCCTCAATAGCTGCAACAGATGTAAATCCATGTTGTGTGCACCAAATGCCCCACCTACTACAAGCTGAATGCAGAAAATTACAGGAGGGGGGCATACACAAGACCAGTCACCCTGCACATGAAGAGAGAGCAGAGCTGTGGGAGGGACCCAGCGTGCCCACCCAGGCTGAGTGTAGAAAACTACAGGAGGGGACAAATGCAAGACCAGTCACCCTGAACATGAAGAGAGAGCAGATCTGTGGGAGGAACTCAGCAGGCCCCATCTACTACATGCTGAATGCAGAAAATTACAGGAGGGGGGCCTACACAAGACCAGTCAAGACATAAACAAATTAACATTTTTTTTTCTTGTTCAGCCCATGGGTTAAAAAAGAGAAATGTACACATGTATAGCTAGCTTAAAGAAGAACTCCAAGTTTTTATACTACTAATCCTTGTAGTGGGCTACCTCTGAACTGCAAGGGTTAAGTGCTTTTCTCTA